AAAGCCACAATTTTACTGCAAGAACTACAAGAAACATGGCCATATAGAAAAATTTTGCAAAGCAAATCAAGTGCAGTATAGGCCTTGGCAAGTGCAGTAGGCTAATTTCATAGAAGATCAGAATGAGGAAGATTATATGTTTGTGGCTATGCACAATTGTTTTGTGACTTTAGAGGATTCATGGTATGTTGATAGTGGCTATACAAATCATATGGTCAAAGATGTGAAGCTGTTTATTAAGCTAGACAGGTCTATTTGAATAAGAGTCAGACTTGGCAATGGTTATGTAGTGCAAGCAAGAGGCAAGGGTAATGTCTCAATTCAAACTAAGGTATTAAAACTATCATTAATGTTCTATACATTCCTAGTTTGAGTCAAAACTTGCAAAATGTTGCACAATTAATGAAGCATGGATATTTTGTACATTTAAACAAGATGTATGTCAGATTTTTTATGTGCATGGTTCTGAGGTTGCTAATGTGAAAATGGTTGATAATAGCTTCCCTCTAATGTGGAGTGATGTTAAGCAGCATGTTTTGATTTCTAAAGAAGATAAGACTACCTTGTGGCATAGGAGATATGATCATTGCAATGTTAGAACATTAAAGTTTTTGCAATCTTCTCAACTTGTAAGAGATTTCTCAGAAATTTATGTCAGTAATGATGTATGTAAAAGCTATCAACTTGGAAAAATTCATAGAATAGCTTTTCCCACAACTAAGGCATGGGGAGCAAGTTATAAACTTGAATTGGTGCATACTGATTTATGTGGTGCTATGAACACACTTTCTCTCAATCAAAACAAATATTGTCTCTTGTTTCTTAATGATTTGACTAGAATGACCTAGGTTTATTTTTTGTCTAGCAAGTCACAGGTATTCTCTATTTTAAAAAAGTTTAAAGTGCTAGTTAAGAAGCAAAGTGGCTACCAAATTAAAACCTTGAGGTCAGACAATGGAAAGGAATATACTTCCAAGGAATTTGATATTTTTTGTGAAGAGCATGGTATAAATCATCAATTAACAGTGAAGTATACACCACAACAAAATGATGATTCTGAGAAAAAAAATAGAACAGTGATGGAAATGGCTAGAAGCATGCTTTTTGAGAAGAATTTGCCTAAGAAGTTTTGGGCAGAGGCAGTGCATACTGTTGTTTATTTGTTGAATGGTCTTCCAACTAGAGCTGTTGAAGGTAGAACTCCTGTTGAGGCTTGGTTTGGACTCAAGTCTTTAGCTTATCATATGAAGGCTTTTGGTTCTATATGTTATATGCATGTCCTAGCAATTAGAAGAACCAAGTTGGATGAGAAAGCTGAGATGGGAATTCTAGGTGGTTATATAGCACAATCAAAGGGATATAGAATTTATAATTTGCAATCTCAAAAAGTGAAAGTGCATAGAGATGTTTTAGTTGATGAATCTACTTTTTGGAGCTGGGATGATTAGAAAATTATTAAGGAGTTTTCTTCTCAGTTAAATGAAGACTTGAATGGTGAACTAAGTACAGCTGCTACTTCAAGACACTAAAATGTTGTTAAAACTAATGATGACTCACCACTTTTTAAGGTAAAGTCACTTGAGGATGTGTATGATAGGTGTAATTTGGCTACTTCTGATCCAACTTGTTTTATTGAGGCTTCAAAACATGATGAGTGGATGGCTGCTATGAAAGAAGAGCCTACTATGATTGAAAAGAACAAAACTTGGTCACTTTGTTCTAGACCAAAAGGTAGAAATGTGATTGGGGTTAAGTGGATTTTTAGAACAAAGCTTAATCCTGATGGCTCAGTAAACAAGTATGAGGCCAAATTAGTTGTTAAGGGATATGCACAACAGCAAAGAGTAAGATTGTTTGAGACTTTTGCATCAATTGCAAGGCATGATACTATCAAACTGTTGCTTTCTATTTCAGCTCAAAATGGTTGGAAGGTTTACCATATGGATGTGAAATCTATTTTTTTGAATGGCTTTTTAGAAGAAGAAATCGATGTTAAGCAACCGGAGGGGTCCTTTGTTCATGGTAGCGAGGATATGGTTTATAAGCTTCATAAGGCTTTTTATGACCTGAAACAAGCTCCTAGGGCCTGGTATAGTAGGATTGATGCCTACTTAATGCAATAAGGTTTTAAGAGGAGTGAAAATGAAGCTACTTTGTACGTGAAAGACACAAATGGTGATGTACAGCTAGACTTAGCAAACGGGCGAGTTGGGTCAGGTTAGAATGGGTAACGGGTCATGGGTCAATGAAGGCAAACCCTAACCCGCCCATCATGGGTCACAAGTCAACTCACGGGTTGACCCAATTAAATTTTTTTCTTTTTTTTTTCTCTATAATTTGTAACTATTATCATTCAAAGAAAATTATTCAAAAGATTTAAAAAAGAAATTCAACTTTTTATAAAAAGAATTTTTTTCTCATTAATTTAATATATACATATTTATAGTTTCTTAGAATCACCTT